CGTTCAGTCTTTAAGTGTACTGACACTCCCCGGAAAGGAAGCGATCCATCCCGACCAACACTCATTGACTTGGATGCCAGTGCGAGAACCTGGGTCACGCAGACAAAGCTGAAATGGAAAACAAACAGCAAAGCCAACACACTACAGGCATACACACAGCACAATCACACTCATCGATGACAACCTACGCCTTCCAGTTAAAGACATCCTCTTAACATCTTGCAACACAATCGCTACTTGCTAGAATGACTCTTGCAGAACACAGTATGACCAAAGCAGCCCTTCATGATACTACTCACACATCCTCTTATCTATTTACTAACAATTACCACTTCAATCGCTTGTCACTCATTCTGCCTCAGTTCCAGTAACGGTGACGTATGAAAGCCTACGTCGTTTACACTCTCGCCCCCTGGCGTGTGGGCACGCAGCTTAAATTCATTCTCAACCATTTATTCCACAGCTAATCCTTATCTCCGTGTGCATGTCATTCTCAGAACTAGCCTCCCGGCGCATACGACCCATCTGCTGTCTTTTACATCAATCAATCCATTCACGAATGCAGAAGACCAGAAACAACTTCAGAAGTAATTACGACGAAAAATCTAACAAAATTATCCCATACAACAAGGTACGAAAACAAGAAGTGAACAGAATGAATCCAAAAACACCACTTGATATGACACACCAGACATATATACAAACAGTACACATAACCTCGCAGATCATGTCTTGATGCAATTCCCTTGAAGAATTGCAGGAATTACAGCAATACGCCTACAATCCCTCTCAGGTTGACGCCCTCGGTTGGAAAATCGTCACAGAGTTCATTTGGTGACCTCCTTCTATCATCTATATCCTCAACTCTGAACAGTGACACTCCCACGTCATTGTATCGTAGAATATAGATGACTAACAAACACACGACGTATCTGACCAACCAAGCGTAGGCACAGAGCAATTTACACCAAAGATAACAGCATTCAAATAGTAACTTGAAACTTGAAAAACCTTTATTCATGCAAGACAGTTCAACAATTACCCTCTCATACACAGTTGGCTTATCGTCACCGACATTCGTCCTTTCAAACGGACTGATACTAAGATATTCATAGCGCAAGACGCTTGAGTTCATGGACGGCCCTTTCATTGTGGGTGACAACATCAACGATGACCAAGTGACACAAGTTGATGAACTTAGCGGTGCATCAGAAGCTGTTGTTGTTCGATGTTTAGAAGGTTGTCTAAGTGCAAGATTACAAACACTGCTGTCTCTTATGATTAGCTCCATTTTAGCATTAACATCTGTTGATAGGTCGGCTATATGCTGATCATATAAACTGACGGTCTCACGAGTATCCATACCTTCTGCAACTGCACCTGCATTTATTTCTGCTTCACGTTGTAGTTGTACAGAACCTTTATTCAACTTAGCAGAAGCAGGCGCTCCCCCCATTTCATCATGATCAACCAAAGACAAATCTGCACTATCATGATCATTATCATAAATATTCACTTTACCGTCGTCTATATGGTCGACTTCATCATTTTCAAACTCTTTATTAACAGCAATAAACAATTTGGGTTCTTCCTAACAAATCCTTACAGGTTCTATACCTTTACTCTGACTAGTAGTACCTTGTAAACTTGTGGAGTCAGAACTGGACTATGAAATTGTAACTCCCTTCTTCCGCACAAACTGCGGTGTCGTCTGTGACACTCTATTCAACAATGGCTTACCAGTTGCAACTACAGGCTTCTTCACTGCACCATTATCGTCACACAATTCCTAGTCGGACCTTGATGACGCTGATTTCACATTTAGCTTACCACTAAACTTCGTCACTTCTTCACAGTTCACCTTTGTATGCACTTCTTGCAAACGTGTAAAACACAACCGTGTTTGTCTCGCCACTTGTAACCTATCTGTTGGGGATGTCCCACGAAGGCTGTCACACTCACTAGGTTTAAATGGATTACTAGACACCATAAAGCTTTCTTGATATCCGCTTCTCCGAGACCCTTTCGTCATAAATTATTGTGGTTTGCCCTCAGACTGCTCTATTCTAGGGGTGAGATGCAATATGCTGGCAAACTTGCTCATAGATTGATTGACACTATGTTTTACCAGTTTCAGAATATCATCGAACTTTGGCTCAATACCTTCATCCTCTATACGAGAGCTTATCTTCACCCACTTCCTTTGCAGTCGAGTAGGTAGGCGTCTCGCTATTACCTCTAGGAGGGAAATTGAGTTCAGGTCGCTCATGCGATTCATTGAAATCAACGTATTCTTGTAAGTCATAAGATTATCCAAAAACTCATATAGTGCCTTGGAGTCATTTTGTAATTGACTACCATTACTTTTAGCAGACATTGACAGTTTCTGACAGTTGGATGACACCCATATACTGCTCCTGTCTTCCGACAGTTTTATGCAACCACCAGATGATAAACCATGTTGCCACCTTCCTTGAAACACACTCTAATGTCTAAGGAAATTTATGTACAAAACCTAAAAGGAGAATATATTTCAGAGATAACTAGGTTACAATGGTGCACATAAACTTAGGGCTGAAGCGGCTAAAGGATTTCGTCCAGTCAACTGAACGCCAGCCATTTCTCTCTCAGCAATCAATTTGTTAACCCGTGCAGATTGGAACACACGTTAGCCGAAATAATTTTAAAGGGACACGATCTCAGTTGCAATGTTGCATTATGACTGGGTACCTCTATAATCTATTTCTATCATCACTGATAAATACACATTTGAGCAACCGTGAGAGTTACATTCTGTCTTCTCTAGCTGGACCGGTCTCGGGGAAGCCTGGCCACCAGCTTAGGTGGGCCAAACGAAAGAGTTGGCAGACAGTACTGCCAAAGCTCAGGTATGGCTAGATAGATTGTCACACAACAACCGTCTGAGTTATTTCTAGTTGGAGTCAATGAAAAACGAGTTCGCAGCCAAGCTATTTGGTTTTCGGAAAATGTAACATTCACTTCAAGAGGGTAAGTACAAAATGTAGTTTATGACGTTTCGTAATCAAGCACGTAACATATACTTCCTGACAGCATATCTAACAGTGACTTTTGCCTGAAAATTCAGGAGTTAGAGTATCGCAATAGTTTAGAAGTTACCTACCTGTATTTATCGCAACAAAAAGCATCGAGAAATATCATTCAATCGCTTGAGTACGACTGCATTCAGGACGAGCTGCTGTCAATCCTAGGGGACATATCAAAATTAAGAGATCCCAACCAATGTGTGGAGCAGGATATCTTACTGTTTGTTACCCATCACCTACTGATGGTTTTCGAAATCTGATGAATATTATGCTTGGCCGAAGAGGCACAGACTGTGCAAGCTGGGAAGACAGTTATGCAAAGTTCTAGATATTATTCATGGATTTTATCTTTTCCATCCGCAAAGTGGACGGCGGTCTCCTCACTGAGAGTTTGAAAATGCCTAGACAGGTGAAATCTGCAGAGCGGTCCAGAGTCACTCAAAAATACTTATTTTCTGGCAACTGCCAACACACCCTTAGCATTGCTGTTTTAAACGTTCACACTTTTCATGATGGTTCGTATCTAGCCTATGGTAGCACAAAGTTTAACAAGAAAAAACATACGGATAAAGTGAGAAATAATGTTCTCTTTTTATCTTCTTAGGGAAATACCCAAAGGTAAATTCTGAGAAGCAGGGGAAACAACTTCTATCAAGACTTGATATCAAGGATGACAGAAAGACCGGTTGTTTGTAAAGTCCCAGGCCACATAGTCTGATTTTTGGACTGCTCATATGCACGTCCCTATGGAGCTCGTGTTCCGCTTTCCTTCCTTGGGTGGTTGCTGCTCATTGTGTCATATCCTTATCCCTTCAAAAAATACGCGCCTTCATCTGTATTGGATGTTCAAAAACCAGGGGTTCGTGGGAGTATTTCGAGTCTTTTCCAGCATATCTAACATTTATATAAGTACATGAGATTGAAATGAAACTTTAGAAACTACACAGACCCCAAATTGCTTGGTCAAGTTTCGGTTTATCTCCGACTGTAAATCGAAGGTGAACAACTGTTCCCTAAACATCTCAAAGCAGATGCAGGCGGAAAGGTGTCACTTATTAAATTGACCATTGAAAGAAAGCAGTAAGTGTGAAAATCGTTATCTGAATGAGATTGTTCATACTGTCCTGCATCACCCTAGGAGAAGGTAGGCCCGCTTAAATTTCCTTCCAGCACTTACAAAAATAACCCTTATTAGGGACGTACGAATACTTCACTCTCGAGTCCTGAAAGCAAAGAAATGTAAAATATTTCCTCTGTTCCAGGAGCAACGTTCGACCGAAACATAGATACTTAAACAAGGGTATAATATTGCATAGTAACGTACATAACAGATATATGGTGAAATATTATGTGCATCAACCTGAATATTTTGTCAGCTTTCGGTTTACTACTGATACAGAGTCTTAGGAGAACTTAATTCTAATTATCTTGAAAGTCTTAATTCCAGGAACGACTTGATTTGAGGCCTAAAGTCAAAAATGTAACCTTAAGTCCCAAATTTTCTCTTCGTGTCTGCTGCACTCAACACCGTGCTCTATGTGTATCAAAAAACTCATTTGGGAGATAGAGAATTACATAGTGATTAAACAGTAATAAACAAGTAGCGCAGTGAATTTATGCAGGAAATACATATTTGGAGCAGGGATGAAAAATTGCAAATAACAGAGTAGAAATCAAACATGACAATGGACGCTACACGGATGTCTACAGCACTTTCACTATGTTCATAAATGTAAATGAATAACCAGCCCAATTACGAACATATCTTACCTGGCCAAAACACCTGTCTCAATTGAAGAAAGACTCATTTAGACATCTTCGAAACAGAAGTCTATTACCGAAATGCCTAGAAATCCCCATCATCACTAATTTACTTCCCTCTAGAAGATGTATGTGTTGTATTATTATTAGAGAGTGTCTGCAGTAAATGACTGCAATATTTTGGAACTGCATTGAAAATGCAGCAAAAAGAAATTGTTTATATGATCATCTGGAGTTTTGGCATGATTTAAAAATTGTTATATGTGACCGTGTGACTTTCGAGGAATTCATACTTCGTTAGTTGAAAAATCAATCATCCACTCGTGCACAATTAATGATAATTTAGAATGGTTGATATTAGATACAAAACTGCGGTTTTAAAGTGATAATATCTGTTAGCTTCTCATAGTAAAACCTCAGTGTCTTTTGAAATGTACTTCAATCACATGTTACTGGTGGTTCCCAACCCAAAACGTCACTTCAGTAAATGAACACTGTCTTGTGAAACCATTATGATTCAGAAAAAGGAGAGTCTTCTATGGCCAATCACCGGCTACACATTTATGATTTGGGTATCAAATGAATTGACTCACAAGCAGAGTTTGCTGGGACTGCTAAAATCCTCACTTTACAAGTTGACGGGGAACAATGAATACAAGTTCAATGTTGCACTCACAGGTGTGGTAAGTGTATATGTATATGTTTTTTCAAAATACTGGAACCTTATTCAGAAATACATCCAATTCTGTGAAGAGTTTATAGCGTGTAGCCCGAAGTCCATAAATGCTGCAATTAGATGGATACAAAATACAGAATCTCCTTCATCGCCTGAATTTCTTTCAAGATTTTGTTTTGAATATTTAACAAAAGACGGAGTTTCTGAGGTTTACTTACTTCTTCCTGTTGGCTTTGTTAGTATATTACAAGACGAAAACATTTTTCTGGACAAGATTTCACACCTTAATGTCAAAGCAGCCGTTCATATCAGGCTCATCATTTTTGATAATGTGAGTATTTTATTTCTGTTCACTTTCTTTTATGTTTATTTAGTCCTGATCTTTATGAATATGAATTTTGGTGAAACTTACATCTTTCTATCACCAGCTTTTACAATGAAATAGAAGTGAGGGTGGATTTGATAAATAAAACACTGATGAACCCTGATACCGTGAAAATAGATCTGTGGATTGTCAATTTTAAGATAGGCCATGACGCCTTTTTATAAAACATAGAATCTACATGTTCAGCGAAAATTCTGTCGAAATGCTTCAATGTTGACTTTCCGATAGTTCTCATTTGAGGCGAAAGAATACATTTCACTGAGTGTAAAAATAGTCTGCCGATAATATTTATGGGGATGGCGTCTAAACTCAACACAAACAACTTTGGTAAGCATTTAGTCTAAAATTCACTCAGTGGATTCGAATGTCTCTTTATAAGCCTGAAACGTTTACTCATTTTACTGCCATATACTGCGTAACCTAGTGTTACACCCTTAATAAAAGTGTATGGTACCCTCAGCCTCACCACTAACACAGAACCAAAGGCTGATTTGGGACATTTAGGAAATTTTTGTTGACTATCTGTGAATTTATTGATTATTTGTAAATGCTCGAAGCTGACTTATTGAATGAGTCTTGATTCTAATCTTATTTGATAAGAATCTAAATTGAAAATAAAGCACCTTTTTCATATAAGCCTTATTGAAATGAAGTTTTGATGAATAAATCAGACCATCGCATGAAGCATACTAAAATGCCATAAAACAAGACAGTCATAGCTTTTATGAGTTAACTTCTCCCTAATGTCAAGTTCGAAATGATAATTTTTACCAACGAGACAAACGATTTGTGCACGTTCGTCTGCAGATGGTTTGATATTGAAGTCAACCGAGTTTTGAATAAGCCTCCAGTAAGTTTTGAATAGATTGTAGGCACTCATCATTGCGACACAGAAGCCTTACTGTTGAAGTCGGAATTTAGTCACCAAACAGGCACAAACTCATCAATCATCTTAGAGCACTCAGTGAGGGTATGGCAGTGCAACCAGGTAAATGATACTATATTAGTGAAAAAAGGTGTTGAATGAATTGCAGGAATATTAAACAAAATATCTGGTTGGTTTAAGTTAAGATTGGGGAAAGATTAAGGTTATGTTTAGGTTAGGGACATGTTAGGGTTAGGTTTGCTTAGTTAGGGAGACATTAAGTCTAGGCTAAGGAAAGACTAGAGTTAGGAAAATAAACAAACCACCAGCTCTACATTTCTTCCCAAAATCATTGACGCGTTCACACCTCCTGGGTGTCTAAAGCTTGACCTTACAGATTTACTAGGTTACTAGTCTGTGCTAGACAAATGGTAACGTTGATCTCTTTTTGACATATGTGAGTGGCAGACACTCCTGCAAGACAATCATACTTTTGAAAATTCATAACTATTTGAATGACAGGTTTTTTTACACAACATGAAATGAAGAAGTATGTTAAAGGTCAAGACAAACGAATGCTTCCAAAGAACATGGGAATTTCAACTTCACTGAGCAGAAATGTGCCTTTCAAAAGCCTTGTCAACAACATCCCAGTTAGATGTATTAATTATCACTGTATGAAATACATTTAAAACTGAAATTTCTATCCCAGTGATTTTGTCAACACTGCTATACGGATTTATCGAATATCGTTCGTCGTTAGAAAGTAGTCAAAACTGTAGTTATTGTAAATTATTATGCGATGCTATCTTGAGTAAAATTCTGTGAAATCAGTCCATGCTCTGGAAGTTGATATTTGTTCTATTTTCCTCAATTAAAGGATAAATTTCGAAGATTCCATTGAAAACTTAGACTTTATAGTCTCTGTTGCAACTTTTATTAATTATGTAGGCGTTGACATAAATGTAGTTATGAATTGCTGAATACTATAGTGTATTGGAGATACTTGAATTCTCAGGTAATGAGTTCTACTTTTTGATGAAGCTGAATAAAATCCAGTCTAACTCATACCCGATAACAACCAATGAGTAAAAAGTCCCCAATTCAAACAAAATTATTATTGCAGCTCTATTGATATCATCCACAAAGGCTATTTAAAAGACAATAAAATGGAGTGGCGAACATATAAGTTCCTTTGTCAGGTTATTCTCGACAAATTTGTTTTATACCATATGGTCATTTTATGCTGCTCTTCATATAGGCTTGATAAGAAGCGTCCTAAATGAATAATATTCAAATAGAATTAAGGCCTTATATTAAGAAGCTGAGATTGATCATAACAAGAAAAAATAGATACAGTCTCTTTAGTTTATTAAAGTAAAAAGCTGATAGCATATCAAAGGATTTTCAACCACGTTTCATGGTAATATTTTTCGGTGATTTGGGATTCTGAGCTAAACTATCACTAAAAATTGTTTTCACCTTATTTTGAAGTACTTTTTCTATTATGACAAATATATTGGCAGTAAATATTTGTTACAACTGCTAAAAACATTTCTGTAGCACCAGAAAAAGTTACTAATTACCCTCTCATAATTTTTCAAGTAATGAAATCATAATAAAACGATAGAACGAACCTAAATCTAGTTTTTACTATTGAATCTTTGACTACACTAGAACTTCAATGTGATGAGCTCCTTTTTTGTGTTACAATTTATATATCTCTTTTTATCAGCAGAACTGCTTCTCTTTTATATCAGGTTTTTTTTGTCACAAGTTAATTTGTTGCACGTTTGATGATGAAGTGCTTATTATATCCCTACTTTGAGGTCATCTAAAGCTATCAGAATACAAACATAACGGTTTGGCTACATTAAGAATGAAGCCACTCATTAATTATTTTTGGTATAGTTTAAGAAAACTGTTTCTGTTTGTCGTCTTTATGTCTGTTTGATACAATTCTTTTGAAAGAATTAGGTGTAATCGCTGCGAACAACTTTAGTTACGTAAAATAAGTGATAGTTCTATTACTTTCAGTTTCAGAACGCTTTTATCTCCCTCTTTTATAACCATTTAACTCATCATAAAGGCAACATCATTGAGTGCAACTCCGTTTGTCATTATATTTAACACAAGCGTTTGATTTTTCTTTTGACTTTATGTACTAAATTCTGACTTTATTCTCAACTGCACTTGGCAAAATTTCAAGCAAAATTATATTTTTGCATACTACAGCTTTGTGCCACAATTTCTCCTAAGGAGTGACCGATAGCAACTTTTTTAGTTAACCACTTGAAGAATTCATCAATTCACTTTTTTCAATTTATTTGACAGAAATCTTTTACGATAAAGATGAAGGCATTTTTCACTGATTAGAAACTTCCTGTTTTGACTTTTAGACTACAGCAGATGATCACTCTTCATTGTCAGAAGAAGAAAATTCTGAAATCAAAAAGTTAATGCGCATTTGTCAAATCACATTTGGAACATTTGCAGTGATTCGAATCTGTTCCACTGTCAAGACATGTACCAATGGTTGCACCACATGGTTAATGGATATTAAAAGATCCAGTTCAAATCAGACTGCAATATCAAAACGCTTTCAAAAAATTCAGATCCATATGTTACTGTATAATGAAGCTTCACGAAATGTCGTATTACCCTGTGGGAAAGTTTATCAACTGAATGATTCCAAAGAGCATGAACGCGTACTAATGAAACCAACATTGTCCGCCTCCTTGGAATTCGCCAATACATGCAAGTTGTGATTTGTTTTTTGTTCATAACTGATTAAACGACTCGAAATCGAAAAATTCCCCTTACTTCAATGCTATCAGCATAGATTATATTCAGAAAGAAGTAACAGTGTCTACAGATTCGGTTACTTCCTTACTATAATAAAGTACTGTATAAAAGTTATAATGTGAATGGAAAGCAATTAACTTGGTTATCTTTTAAGTAGTCACGAAGGCATTATACATATTTTTTAAATTTTTATTTTTGATTACAGCTTGATTCCACACCGTATTTTTGGTACAAGTATGGAATTTTCAGCATGGATATCGGTAGCCCAAATTTCGCAGGCCGATCATAGATATCAAGGTGTGCGTCGGCGTGGGCTCGAACCCCGGACCATGTGCATGGTCGGCGAGAGTCCTAACCATTCAGAATCCCAGTCAAACAGAAGATGCCAAAAAATAAGAAATGTTTCCGAAAAAATTGTGTTTTAAAGCCATATAAGTAACATATTTTGTCAGAAATAATCTATGATAATTAAAAGAACCTTGTTATATAAAGCCTTTCCTTAAGGGAAAAAATATAACGGTTTTCTCAAAGAAATGAGATTATTCGTGTATTCATTTCATGTAACATGCAATTTTAACCTAAAATAAGTTTCAAGATTACTTATTTAGTATTTATAAAGTTCACACTTTTCTGGTGCTGTGAGAATATCTCCCACTTTCTGTTCCTATTTGTTTAATTTCGGTGGCTGTATTGAGGCTACCATTGCGCTCAACAGCTGTTTGGTCTCCTAGGCTAGCTCACCGGTGTCCATGGGTTGTGTAGCCCTAACCTCTTTGATTCACTGAGAAATGTGGTCTGGGATACTCTAAATGGACTGGTACGCAAATAACTGCGACTATGACTATGTGGTGAGTGTGCGACGCAGTGGAATCGTCAACATCATTGGCAACACTAACGAGTCTCCATCCGGTCCCAGCTTCTCAGCATAGAATTGCTGCGCCAGCTGCCTGTCAGTGGGGCTTTTGAATTCTGCCATCAATCGTTCGACCAACACCTCCTAGGTCTCCTTCTCACCTAACCGCTCCACACTGCCGTACGCCGCCTTCACTCAGCCTCTTAGTAGCATCCATCTGGCAATCGCCTTCGCCGTTTGACCCTTGACGCTCACCAAATCAGCGATGGCATCAAAGTTTCGCGAGAAGCTCCGTATATCCCCTTCCTTGGAAACAGCCAGCTGTGGAATTTTCGCTCTCTGGAGATAGAGACACTAACTGTAATGGTAGAAGACGAGTGATTCGGTAAAGGAATGTTTATTTAGAATTCGGTATCTTTATATAGCAAAATGTGTACATCCTATCTTCAAATCATCATATACATAAATCTTCCATGTTGTGCTACTTCTGTTTTTCGTACTGTGTTTCTTTATGTTCCTTTCATGTCTCCCATGTTTCTCGTCAACTATGAATCAGTTACTTTCTCTGACGTCAAATATGCCCCCCTGATATTTGGCCTTTTATACTGATTAACGTCTGTTTACATACTACTGATAAATCCTATCAATAGCACACACCACGCTAAGAATATGTATGTACCGTTTCTAACTTTCTGAAAGTCATGACAAACATCATAGTTACTCAACGATATTATATGTTCAAAGAGTGCTTAATTCTACCTGATGGCATATCAAAACTCCACCTATCGCACAAGTTAGGGTAAATGTGTGAATCGATAACTGATATTTGAGACCTCTAAACAGGTTATTACTATAAGAGTTTATTTCACACAAGTGGGAATTGTTTACCTAAGTTATCTTTAATTATAATGTTTCAGAAATCAAAAGTTCTTGAGCTGTAAAATAAATTAAAATTACTATCTCCGCTTGTAAACTTTAATATGAAAATTTATCATCTCGACCAGGTATATTTCATCATAGTTTTCGTCACTTGTTTTGCTACCTTAAAAATAAAACCTGTCAATAACTTAGATAAGAAGATTTAATTTAATGGAGCCTAGTTAGGGATAATTTTCAATGTGGATTAATTACAGGATAAGCGATAAGTAGGCTGAAAGTAAACTATCCTTTATCCCAGTATTTGTCCACTTCTTATGTATAAAGGACCAAATTCAGGAAAGGGAACAAAACAATGTTTTTCTGCACTCTAAAATAGAAGCGTTAGTGTAAGGCTTGATTTTTGGCACCATATTAGGATATAATCTCATATTGCATAAATTTACTTGATATTACGCACAATGATATGGTTTTATTAAAGTGAATTGTTTTTAAAAAGTTTGGTTTGTAAGGATTAGATTTGTTTATACGAGTTTGACCACGGATGGATATCAGTCAGAGAAGCATTGAAAAGTGAGAAGTCGTGACCAGTGAGGTCCACCTAGTCAAGTGTGAGGATGGAGTTCTCACCGATGACATTGTTTAGTGGCCGCGCTAAATCACGAATCGGTAGAAATTAGAATTCATATGCTAGCCGTTGATAAGTCGGGTCCCAGTGGCTGAATGGTATACGAGCTAGCTTGCCTTGTAACCGGAAGGTCCTGAGTTCAAACCTGGTAGTGGGTGAGTACTGCTGATGACTCCTAAACTAGGGTTAAACAGCTGATTTTTCAAGGCTTCTCTAACCGATATCAATCCATGATGATACTCGTATAAGTGCATTATGTTTTGTGAACAGTTTTGTAGCGCATAATCATATCAGTGCATTTACATCACTTAATGGAGTGCTTTATTATTTAACCTTACAGAAGACTGTAAGACAATATTAGGAAGTAATGAAGTCGTATAAATAAACTGGTAAGATTGTTAGCGATGAACTGTGTTCCAAACATGAAAGAGTTATTTAAACTTTATCACTGTGTGGATAAATTTACCTAATAGAAAAAAGTTCAATAATATTGTCACAATCAACCAGTAGTATGCCATATTAACACTTAGGACGAAATGTATTTTAAAAAACCCTATTTTATGCTTGTTTCTGTATGCACATTACGAAAAACTCCAAAATTAATTCCTCTGGGGGTTAGTCACACGGCTATCACAGTTTATTATTATAACTTACGTCACCTGAGTAAGTAAAGCATTAAGCCAACCCTCATTAGTTACTAATACCTAGATAAACGTCGTGTTCATAAAGGACATCTTACAGAGCAAAAACAGTGATGTCAATAACTCTGAAATGAATAACTGAACACTATGATTATTGGACGTGTATGTTGTTCTTATTGATTAGATGACCATGCAGATTATCAGTTGAGTTATTCAGCCTCTATAAGAAACCAAGACGATAGTGTCTTGATGAATGGTCTTTGTGAGTTACCGTTTCTACGAATTCTGCATGATTTAGTGTCACTGAATTTTATTTATGCTTGCCGGTAAAAGATAATAGGCTCAGTTCCATAGAATGAAATTGTTATCTGATAGTTGAATATGTTTTAGTAAAATGGAAACAAAGCCAGGCAGTCGGAAATGATCATTTCATGTTTCTATACTTAGTGAAGAAAATTGTGATAATGAGAGAAACAAATTACACACTACTTCGATGGGGGCTTGGAATGATAGCCAGCTCTCTACCTCAACTTCATCGACTTTGAAAAGGCCTTTGACAGCGTCGATCTAGAGGTGGTTTAGAAACTACTTCGCTACTATGGGGTGCCGCCCACAATTATACTTCTCATCTAACAGTTGTACTACAATGATGTCTGCTAAGTAATCCACAACGGGAAACTTACGGAAGCCTTCGAAGTGTAGACGGAAGTAAGACAAGCTGGCTGCCTACTATCTCCAATGATTTTCTTAACTGCGGGCGATAGACTGGATAATGCGGGCAACGAAGAGACATACAGAAAATGGACCCACACAAAAAAATTGGAAGATCTGGACTTCGCCGATGATATATGTTTGATTTCCCACAAACTGGAAAGTATGCAAGTGAAAAGCAACAAGATGGCAGAAGAAATACCCAGGGAACATAGGCCTTCAGGCGAATACACAGAAAATAGAGGTGATGAAGATTGCTGACCAACAGCAACAGCCACAACAACAGACAACAATCGGCATGAATGGGAGAAATTTGGATAAAACAACCGCCTTTACCTACCTGGGAAGTATCGTTTCAGCTACAGGCGGACGAAGTGATAAGGATATCAGAGCAGCGAGAGTCGGGAAAGCAAGGCAAGCTTTCATTTCTCTCAAGTCTGTGTGAAGGTCAACAGCACTCATCATGAAAAATAATATCCGGATTTTCAACTCCAATGTGAAGTCAGTGCTACTTACTATACGCATTAGAGACTTAGTACCACTTCACGAAGGCCATTTCGAACAAAGTACAGACCTTCATTAACAGCTCTCTTCGCCCATTACTTAAGATTAGGTAGCAATAAAAGATCCGCTACGGGGTGAGATCTCTGGAAATGAACCAACCTGGAACCAACTTTGCAAAAAATATGCAGAAAGAAATGGAGGTGGATGGGAGGTCATACTCCGCGAAAAGAAACCATCAAGTGATATCACAAGACAGGCTCTCGAGTGGAACCCGAATGGGAAGAGCCGAGTTGGTCGTCTGTGCGAGGCTGACATGGAGAAGGTCATGTGAAGAGGAGGTGAAATTATGTGGGCAGACGTGGAGCCAGGTGAAAACGTTTGCGGAGAATCGAAAGCAATGGAGACGTGCGGCCGAAGCCCTATATTCCTCTAGGAGCTAAAGGAAATAATAATAATATCCATGAGGGCGTCAGCATTTATTCAGAGGTCTGAATAAATTTATGATAAAAGATGAAGTTTTAGGGGATGAGTAGTTGATTTTGTATTTTTTTTAAAATAAGTATAAGATATCACTTATCTAGACAATATTGTTTTAACTACAGTCAAAATGCATGGGGATGTCCAAGCAAGGGAAGATGGATATTCATCACTCTAAAATCGGTGTGGAAATCTACTTTACCCAATATAAGAAAACAGATAAGGGTTTTCAATACTAATGTCAAGTCCGCTAGCGCTTCAGTATTGTTAATAGACGTGACGTGTCAGCAGAAGCATTTCCAACAGACTACTGAGGGATTTTATCAACAGCTGCCACCTTCGCTGGTTCCATACTAGAGATGAGATGGCTGGCCCGAAAGAATTAACAAAAAAGAAACTGCAAGAATGAACCAACCAAGAACCCACTCCTCAAGAAATATGTTGAGGAAAATGGAGTTGGATTGGGCCCACACTTAGAAAACGATTTAGTGACATCAAACACCAGCCACACCCTATACTGGAACCCAAATGAGGAGTGACAAGTTTGATATGGGTCCGAGGATGAGATGTGTTTCTAAAGCCGTATGTTCCACTCGGAACCTAAGGGGAAAATAATGATAAGATACCAAAGGCAGAGGTTTCTTCATTTTTGGAAAAAGTATAAGATATGAACTAACTATAATTTTTATTAAAGTATAGAATTATGTTCGAATGCCTTTACTTGGGTTCCCTAGTTTCATCAAATATTACAGTTTAAAGGATAAAGGATTCGTCTTGTATGGAAGCTTCCAAAAGAAACCAAATCAAAGATAGATTCCATGAACATGATTCTGGATCAATAATACATGGCTTTACATATAAGAGAACTAAACTGACAGGTCGACATATCCATTATTTTATGTATGCTGTTATGGTTGTCTAATTATAAGGACGTTAAACAGACATAAATATTATAACAAAATAAACAAAAAGTATATCCAAGAACGACCAGGATGATTTGTCTAAAGATTTTCGAATCAAGCTGTTCAAACATTATTATTATTATTGTATCCTTTAGTTCCTAGAGGAACATAGGGATTCAGCCGCGCACCTCCACTGCTTTCTGTTTTCTGACAACTTTTTCACCCCGCTCCAGGTCTGTCCACATGCTTTCATCTCCTCCTCGCATGACCTCCTCCAAGTCACCCTTACACTGACGACCAACTCGCCGCCTCCCTTTCGGGTTCCACTCGAGCAATGGCTTGTCTAGTGATGTCACTTGATGGTTTTCTCAGAGTATGGCCAATCCATCTCCATTTCTTCCTGCCTATTTGTTTCGCAATCGGTTCCTGATTGGTTCGCTCCCAGAGATCCCTGTTTCTGATCTTTTCTGGCCGGCCATCTGATCTTGAGTAATGAGTGAAGACAGCTGTTAATGAAGGTCTGAAGTTTGTTTGAGATGCTCTTTATGACGCGCAGTGCAAGTCTCTGATCCGTATAGTAGCACTGGCTGGCTTCACATTGGAGTTGAAAATCCGGATCTTATTTTTGATGATGAGTGCTGTTGACTTTCACACAGATTTGAGAGTAATGAGAGCTTGTTTTGCTTTTCCGATTCTGGTTTTGATATCCTCATCAGTTCTGTCCGACTGTAGTTGAGACGATGCTTCCCAGGTAGGTGAAGGAGGTTGTTTCTTTTAGGTTCCTCCCATTTATGCTGATTGTCGTCTATTGTTGTTGTTGCTGTTGATGTTGGCTAGGAATCTTATCACCACATCTGTTTCCTCTATGTTCATCTGAAGTCCCATTTCTGATGCTTTTTCTGCCATCTTGTTGCTTTTCACTTGCATATCTTCCAGTTTGTGGGAAATCAGACAAATACCATCATCGGCGAAGTCCAGATCCTCCACGTTTTTTGTGTGAGTCCATTTTATGCCTGTTTTCTCATTGCCTGCCGTCTGTCGCATTATCCAGTCTACTGAAATCAGGAAGATCATTGGTGATAGTAGACAGCCTTGCTTCACTCCCGTCCTCACTTCGAAGGATTCCGTAAGTTTCTCGTTGTGGATTACTTGGCATGCAGCATTGTCGTATAACTGTTGAATGAGATGTATAATTACCGATGGAACCCCGTAGTAGCGAAGTAGTTGCCAAATCACCTCTCGATCGACGCTGTCGAAGGCCTTCTCAAAGTCGATGAAGTTGAGATAGAGAGGTGACTGGCATTCCAAGCTTTGTTCAATGATGATCCGTAGAGTGGCGATTTGATCAATACATGATTTGTTTCTCCTGAATCCGGCCTGTTCCGGACGAAGTTTTTCATCTAGGGCTTGTTTGATTCTCTCCAGGATGATGCGACTTAGTATCTTGCTTGGAATGGACAGAAGCATAATTCCACGCCAGTTTTTACATTGACTTAAGTCTCCTTTCTTTGGTAGTTTGAATAAGTATCCGTTCTTCCAATCCTCGGGTACTTTGCCCTCTTTCCACACCTTCTCCAGCAGTGGCGTCATCAAGTCCGCTGTTGTCTCTGGGTCTATTTTCAAAGCTTCTGCTGGGATTCCATCTGGTCCTGCTGCTTTCCCAGCTTTTAGCATCTTGATTGCATTCAGGACTTCTGATTTCGTCGGGGGGTCAGTGTTTACTGGTAGTTCTGCTTCCGTTGTTGGTATTGTTGGGCGCGTTGTGGTTGGCGGACGATTTAGAAGTCTTTTGAAGTGTTCAGCCTAGTGCTTTCTCTGTTCCACCTCTTTGGTGATTGACTTTCCATTGTCGTCCTTCAAAAATACTGGCTACATATTCTTTATTTTACTCAGGAGTATAGTGTTCTACGTCAGGTAAACTGGAGGCTTATATGTATTTCTCATGCGTGTTATGACAGAAGCAACCTTTTTAATTCATGAAAATTTCCCATTCGAACATTAAAATACAGAAGACCAGAAATTCAGAGAAGAGTCTCTTTTCTCCGGCGAATTCATTTTCATAGCTGTACAATCGCAAATATATATGCTTGTTTTTATATGTGTGTGCGTTATATTTGACAAACGGAAATACAATTAGTAAGTTCAGATGGATTGGATGTTGATGTAAAAGGGTAGTAACAAAAGTGATGAGTTGTCAAAAACGATTGTTAAAGAGGAGTTACGTAAGAACAACATGAATAGTTTGATGAAAGAGTTGTGCTCAGGGCGTACATGGAAAAAAAGAACATACGGAATTACGCAAGGGTTTTAAGTAGTTAGAAAAATAAGCATACAAACAAGAGTTAAGTCAAATCAACGGAGCTGTTACAATGAGAATAGAAGTGGTTGAATAATTTTCTTTTGTATGCATTGTCCTGGTTCTTCCAACTGAATGGCTAGGGCTTCTGCAATGCAAAGAAGACAGAAATCTATTGTCTTTGGACGGTTGTTCTTCACTTTGTAGATTACTTTGAAGGAGGCGTTCGTTGAGATGGAACGACCAGTGTTGACGAGATGTTCGGTTATTGCACTTCTTATAAGCTACTACTTCCTTTCTGCAGCCACACTGGATAGTGTTCTTTGACCCTTTTTGACAACATGCGCGTTGAACGACCGATGTACCTGGCACCACAGCAACAGGTGAACTGATATATACACACAGAAGCAAATTCGTCACAACTGAGTTACCTTGCAACTTCTATAAGTTGTTCAGTTTGTTCGTAACTTTAAAAAAATCTTATTTAAAGTAACCAATGACATTTTGAAATTGCTATATTTCATAGCCTACGAATAATTTAAGTTTTTCTGCTTGTTACATCTACGACAAACAGACAAACAGTTTTAATTTACTGTCTTATTTTAGATTTCGGATCACACTCGCATAAAACCACATTCAATAACTTCGACTGTTGTTCATATCCAAATTTGTGGTCAAGGGTTTCTGTAAATAAGAAGTTAGTTGACGACTTAAATCGTCGAATTTACGAGTCAGCTAAGGATGAAGCAAGTTCTAAGAAGTGTTTATCAGATTGGTCAGCTAATAAGTTCACTCCTATATTGGATATGATGAATAACCGAGAAGTGTTAGCCAGGAGATCGAATGATGGTCATTATTATCTAGGCTCAGTTCAAAGTGTTGTGAGTTATTTTCTACCTATAATTTTTGTCATTTGCATTATACTATTTCAGGGATTTATGAATTCTCTAAAAGTGTCTCTTAAAATACCTAGAGTAAGTTGTATACCTATCGGTGACAAAACAGGGCCACAGAATAAAAATGACGAGTGAATACAAACAGACCAATTTTGAACAAGTTCTCATTGTCGACGCAAAACAAGCAAGGCAGATATCCTACCACGAAAAGCAGTTTTGCTACATGAAGCACCCTCAACCAATCCATCAGAAGAGGTTTCGGAAAACTGTACTGCCTCTACCATTATTGTAAACATTCAGTCAACTCGCTAGCCAGATTCCTAGACAAAATGAAGGACTTGAAGATAGAAGAGGTCAGAAGAATGACCTCTTTCGATGTAACTTTTCTCTGAGCTTCATTCAACCGAACCCTAGTCAAAAAAACGATCGATTTTATTGTCAGCAGCTATCAAAACTTTTCAAAGTATACGAAAATCACAGTTACTAGCCCAGAAGAGCTCAGTTACCTGTATCTCATAGCCAACTTACAGTTCAGTGACAAGATCTATGAATACATAAAATGGACACTTATGGAATCACCAATGGCGGTTTACTGAGGCATTGATGCAACTACCATAATCAGCTATAACTCTACTGAGAAAAGGTAAAATGTGAGCTAGAAACGCTGATAAAACTTCAGTCATTCTCAAAGTCACTGAAGTAAAAAAAACACTTTAAATTTGAAGAAGGTAATAGCAAAACATAGAGCAGTATCTTCTCAGCTGTATACAACTTAAGTAATGCAGATTATTAGTTTTATTAAAATCCTAACATACTCTAGTTTATTAGAATTAAGTTGTCAAACAATCATTAAGAGTTATCATGACATATATACATATATATATATTAGTGTGCAAATAATTCAAAAAGTGAAGGGCGAGGGTATTAACAAGATATTGAGTACATGATTTATGAGATTATGTAAGTTACGAGAAAACCGTTGGTAAACAAATGAGATATGGAAAAAAATATAGTGCCCCAAGTATTTATCAACCTCATCCAAAAGCTGTGTGACAATACCACATGTTAGGGGATTTACTACAGAAAACTCAGCGAAGCGTTCGAAGTCAATACAAGAGTAAGACTAGGTTACCTACTACTATCACCGATGATATTGCAGTCCACTGGATTATGCGTCAGATTGTAGGAAGCGAGGAGACAGGAGTACACTGGACCACCGATAAGAAGACTAGAAAATCTGGATTTCGCGTGTGGATGACATATGTCTAACGTCACACAAACTCGGAGACTTGCAGCCAAGCGAAAACCAACAAACTGGCTGAAGATGTAGGCAGCGAAGACAGGACTCCAAGTGAACATGAAGACAGGGGTGATGAAGATAACCAACGAACCACAACAACCAGCATCAATCACCATCAACGGGAGAGATTTAGCAGAGGTAACCTCCTTCACTTATCTGGAAAGAATCATTTCAACTACAGGCGGAACGGCTGAAAATGTTAAAACCAGCCAGCCAGCCAGCCAGAATTAGAAAGGCAAGGTGCGCCTTCATCAACCTGAAGCCAGTTTAGAAATCTTCTAGACTCATTCAGCATAAACATCAAGATTCGGATTTTCAACATCAGTGTTAAGTCAGTCACTTCCATATGAGTCAGACGCTAGCACACTGAACGTCACGAAAAGCATTTCTAACAGGCTGCAGAACAGCTGCCATCTTCACTGGCTCCATACTGAAGATCGAATGGCCAGAAAGAATTAGCAACAAGAAACTTTTAAATGGAACAAACCAACGAAGAGCCGATCGCTAAATAAATATATAGGAGAAAATGGAGATGGATGGGGTATACATTGAGGAGACTGTCGAATGACATCGCGCGAACTGTAGGCCACTGAGAAGCCATGAGTGGGTCATTGGTGTGAGGGTGACATGGAGAAGATGGTGCGAAGAGGAGACGATAGATTACAGGCAATCATCGGCCCAGCTGAAGAAAAAGGGTAAAACATAGAACAAAGTGGAGAAATGTTGTTGAAACCATATGTTCCACTCGGAACCCAAGGGAATACTAACAAGCTCATTTAGTTAGATACCTGACATATGAAGCATGACTTTTAATAATGTAACTGCTTAAGAGTGGAATGAATTTACTATATAAACCAGATAAAAGATGACATAATGAGTGGAGGTTAAAAGACGAGTTACCAAGGTAGAGAAAGATTTTCTACAGATTCAATTTGAATACATAAGTCAGGTTTTGACTTCTATTAATCAACGATCTCTGCAAACATTTTCGTTCATTTATATACTATAATTACTCGCGATAATCATTCTACAATTTAATTCTAATGTACTAAAGTATGTTAAGATTTTTTCAAATGGTTAATCTTCCTTATACAGACTCTGTTCAGTTGAGAAGATACTGATGAAATAAAATGGATCCGTTTTATCCTACTTCATGTGTTGCTATTACTTTATTTAAATTCACTGTGTGGCATTCATGTATGAAGCCTTTAGTTTTACCGATCAAACCCTGGGGTTACAAAAAGAGAGGAGGCTTGTGAATCCCCCCCCCCGCCGTATACTTACTTATTCTCAGAGCTAACAATAGGAATGTTACTCAAACTATTCAGATTTCAACCTACAACACCAATCATCTGACAGCTGATAAGAAACCTTGCGTAAAGAGATTGTCTTCAAAAGCTGGGAATAACTGCAGCCCACAGGCTTTACGAAAGATTCATTGTCAATGCAATGAAAGGCAAATATAGGTTACAAAATCAAATATGAATATTGTCCACAATAATACATCGTTCAGAGTGGTCTCTGGAACCAGAAAAGACTCTAGGCGTATCAACTAATAGCAGGAAGACACAATGCTTCATCTCTGATCTCAATGTATGTTTTTTTATTTATTTGTATTCCTGTACTTTCCAAGTGGAACGTTGGGCGTCAAGCTAGAGGCTTGAAGTTTCGGTAGCAGTGGTGTTTATTTTTATGGGATGGGTTTCTAATCTCATGCTTAACCTGCCCTCTTTACCAGTCTTATTACTGGCTAGGTAAAGGAGTGAGTCATCCGGGGATTGAACCCCGAACCAAATGCGTGGTAGGCGAGCATTCTACCTCTGTGTCACCGACGCACTAAAACCTCTTGAGACCGGCGGAAGAAAATGATAATTACTTTAACCGTGAAAATATTGTTATCTTAGAATGTGCGAATCAAAGATAGTGGTAAAAAAAACTTATAAAAACCTCGTATTGAAATGTAATCACGATTGGTGGACTTTTGGAAGGAAACATAATCCAAAATCTATTCAGGAAGAAAGGCAGTAATCTTCCATTCAACCAAGGGAATAAAAATCTAACAGTCAATAATTAAAGGCAACAATACAAGACAAAAGATGAATTATCATTACGTGCTGCAAAATAAAACTCTAAACAGAAATGTTATAAGACGAAAATCTCTCCCACTGTTTACAATAAGAAAAGAATAAGAAAATGGATATATATATATATATACAAATGACATTCACAAACGTCTTGTCCTTTAATAAAGTCCCTACTAAAGATTTCAGCAGGATGAATGATGGAAAATCCACTATCAAATAACAAAGCTTAAGGAATATTAGATTGGTTTTTATTATTTTGATATACCCGTGTATGACTTCTGATTTTCTCGATGACAGTCGGCTCAATCCAAAACCTTTTATTGACCACTTCTACACATGTTCTTTCAACATGATACTATGTTTGTTTTGTTGATCTGAACTGCGCATAACATAAAGACACAACTGTTGTGTTCAGGGTTAAAAAGCATTTGTCTCTGATCGTCTCTGATCTTTACATGAATAGATTTGAAGGTAACATCTTTTCAAGCACACTCACTCCTAAAATATGGTTAAGATACGTTGACGATACTTTTGTATTGCTAAAACGAGATCTACACATTTCATTCTTGGGGAAACTAAACAACCTATCTTTCAAAATCCAGTTTATTTCGGAAGCAGAATCAGACAGTTGTGAACTGCCATTTCTAGACTGCCTACCTAAGAGGAGGGAAAACGGATATTTTAATATATCCATTCATATTTCGGATGAAAACTCACTCCAACAAATATTTTAACTTCGGATCATCACACCCCATCAATACAAAGGTATCAGTTGTTTCAAGTCTTCTTAGACGAGCACACTCTTAACGGATGAGAAAGAAAAAGAAGAAGAAATATCAAACATTACTGAGACTCTCAAGCAAAACAACTACCTAAAGAAATTCATCAACCAAATCGACACCGACATTAAATATGGTCGAAAACGTATTCCGAAAACATGAACCTCAACCATTGTCACTTCATACAGAGCGGGGATGTCCGACGATATCAGAAGAGTACTCAATAAGCACGACGTCAGAGTTTTCTTCAAAACATCAGACACGCACAGTGCTAAGCAACCTTGTTCATATAAAAGACCGAATCACTAAGGATTCTCTATCTAATTGTGTCTATAAAATGCTTGGAATTTGATGCAATTTACATTGGACATACATCGCTAGCGAGAAATCGAAATCAGAAGAAATGAACACCGTAGAGCATTTGTTCGACCACTGAGAAATCCAGTTAGTGAACTAGACAAGCTTGAAAAATCATCAGCCATTGGTCGTCTACACGCTATAGAATCAGGCCACAAAATTGATTCTGACAATATTGAAATAATCCAGAAAAAGCATTTCAGAAATCACAAAGAACGTCTAATATTAGAAGCACTTCATATCAAGTGGAGTCCGAATTGTCTGAATAGGAATGATGGACTAAAACAGAATCTGACCTGGTTACAACATCTCCATCCCCTATGAAGTGATAATATCAACACTAATGTGACAAACAATTTCAATATGTTAACACATGCTGTTTTTATAATTTTACACACTGATCAAATCCAACAATCTACATCTGGTTTTATTTTCTTTATCAACTGGCCAACCCTATGCTGATGAACGATGATTAAGTTGTTATATATATAACCTGAAATTTTGTAAATTCTGGTTTAATAATACTTTGATAGAGCTATTAGCAACAGCATTAACTAATGAAACGTCAGTAAAAACAGCAATATCGTTTTGTTTTTCATTGATTTATTCATTGGGAAACACAAAATACCGTTATTATACTGAATATCATATACCCGATGCCCAAATTTTTTGAAACTTTTAAATGTGAATTTGGTTTGGATATATACAAGTAAGATATTCTTAACAGTGAACGAAAGTTAGTGATGTTCTCTGTGCTTAATACAACTTCAAGGGTGTCAGCCTTTACATCTGCTTCTGCAGGTGTGACAGAATGGCGAAGGAACCCGTTAGTCAGTAAGAAATAAGTTGTTAACATCAGTGAATTTCATTCGTACAAAGAATGATCGTAACTCAGTTGTTTGTGCATACGTTTCTCTATAGTGGATTTAACTACTGACAATAATTTTGTAAAGTTCTAATTTCCATGGGTGAATATTCGTGTGATCACAGATTGCCTCACTTTTTCATCCTTATTATTGATTAGACCATTATTATTATCATTACTACTATTACGACTAACTGCACAATTTATATTCGCCATCGTATTATCCTATAGACAAAAGAATATGAAAACAGTTAAAGCTTTAAACATTTAATATAATGAAATGCACTTAATTCTATCTTTATTTTGCATTTTAGAAATCACGCTCCCCTGTAGATGAAGTACTGGTACGATTTGGTCCAATAAAATGTTTAACAAATTCAAGTTTACTAAAATCTAAATCGGGAAGATTAGATTCTGATATATTTTATTATGAATGGATTGACATTACAGATATCATTGATTTGAAATATGCTAGAAAACACCCAGTTGAACCAGGAAGTTGCGTACTTATTCCTCAAACTTGGCCCTTACCTAGATGTCCATACTCTAACAAAACCAAGCCAACTAATCTCAAGAATCTGCGTTATTATGCAGCCGTGGTAGTTTCTTGCTCTGAACAACAGCAGGAGTGTGATAAGCGTAAGTATTACGTGAACAGTGTTCATATCATGCCTTCTGCTTGCTAGACTGAAAAGTTTTTACTTCGAATTTAATTTAATTTTAGATTTTCCCGCCGATTGTTTGGACCGAAGTGCTCGGTCTCAGGTTGGCATGTCGGCTTTTTGTGCAGATGCTTCGACAATGTCTGGGCATTTAATTAGTATTTAATTGGTGGATGGTGACTAGCAGTGGAATCCAGGAGACGCATTTCGTCCTATTTGGGCCTCGTCAACTGGATGACCTTTTGCACAAGAGGTGGCTCTCGTGGCCCAAGTGGTCTGTTGGATAACGCTTTGGCATTTGAAACTATGCACAATGTATTTGGGCCTTGGTGGGAACATCATCACTCACTGAGAAATTCAGGTACATCCAGATGACGAGCCCCAAATAGGACGAAATGCGCATCCTGGATTCCACTGCTAGTCACCATCCACCAATTAAATACTTTTACTTCTAAGCCTCAAAGTGCGTCATTGAAAGAATGAATAGCATACACTATGTGTAAATACTTTTGCCTCAAATGCAACTTCTCATTTTAAACAAATGTCCATAAAATTATTATATAATCTATCCCATTGTTTTTATTAAGAGTGCAGGCTACATTCTATCTATACGTTATCTTCATTTAGAATATTACTTCAGCCTAACAGATATCTGCTAAAACTAAGACACTTGTTTGTAATAAAAAAATAAGCTGAATTACTAATGAAGTCTATTTAAGAAATGTATCTTCTATTTACCCGGGTAACTCAAGTTCTTCAGTTTTGATAGGGGATTAAGTTTGCTTTCATGTAGAAATAACCAGTCTGTGCTTGGATATCTTATCTATTATTTAATCACTATTAGTGAAAATTAATCTGATGCTCACTAGTGACTGGCTTCCTGATGAAGGTGTCTGGAGTTCTAGTGAAAAGTGATGACTATTTGGTTCCATCCAGTCGGGAGTTAGTAGGAATACTCCCCGATGACATTGGGTGGTGGTGGTGCTAAAATAACGAATTGGCAGAAGTTAGAATTCACGGACCACTGAGTCGGGTGCCAGTAAGGGAATGGTCTACGAGCTTGCCTTGTAACCGCAAGGCCCCTGGGTTCGAAACATATTAGTTTGGAACTGATGGCAAGTTCCAAACTGGAACGAAATGACTGTTCACTACTCCTTGGTTTGGAGTGGTTCACTAACTAATATCAGTCCGTGGTCAGACGTGAAAGAAATTATTATCTTTGTAGAGAAGTAAATTCCAACAGCATTTCAGCCGTACTTGGTGCACATTCATTGGGTATGTACTTGCTAGAACTATAAAATGGATAGACAATAAGTGAATTCACTTTACAAATATAGATTTTCAACAATAATTCTACATTATATATTTGAAAATGTTTCAATTTATTCTGATGAAAAGCCAAATACAGGAATTCATGGTTTAATGTAAATGGTTAACGTAAATCAGTATTCTTTTCAACTATGGAAGCAGACAATCGAAAAGTCGACTCTAATTTGGTAACAGGGTATTATCACCTGTAGTAAAGTAGTCAGCACCTCCTACTGATTGGAACTGAAACAATCAGAGATTTAAATACTACTATGTGGAAAAACTTGTATACCTTACTGCCTTTCAGTAGGTGTAAATATTTGCTAAATATACCTTCAATAAGCTTTTCTCTCTTCAGAAATGAACATTCTTTAGTGAATCTCATTTTTTAAAATTATTTTACCCCAAAATCATTTTTATGATCATATTACTCATTATCTGTGATTTCTAAGATCAAGGAAAACACGAATATTCAGGTATTGGTTTTTGTACGAATTTAGTTTGATTGGTTGGAGGATTTCATCATGACTTGACATCAGTTAGAGAACCACTGGAAAACATGCAGGGAGTGCTGCACAGATGTCTGGTCCTAGTTTGGGACTCTTCATCAGTACGCCCCCATAGGGGTTTGAGCCCAGGACCTACTGTCGTGAATTGGCGGAAGCTAGAATTCATGGGCCGGCCATTGGATCGGGTCCCAATGGCTTCATGGTCTACGAGCTAGCTCGCCTTGTAATCAGAAGGTCCTGGGTTCGAACCCTGGAGGTTGGTGCGTACTGAGGAAGAATCCCAAACTAGGACGAAAGAGCTATCCAGTACTCCCTATGGCTGGTTTTCGAATGGTTCCCTAACTGATGTCAGCTCATGATGAAATCCTCCAACCAAAACACGAATAGTTGTAGTGCTCAGTTAGTGTCACTAGATACGTTCATGGTATTTTTGTCAGAGACATTAGCTTCGTGAAATATTTCCCAATGTGATCGTTCATGAACAGAGTTACTACATTTTAGCAAGAAAACTTATTCAAACAGTTTATTTCACCTTTCCACCTTTATATTCTTAAATGTTAGGTATATGTATAACACAGGTAGAAACGAAAAAATCCGTGTCGCTTATCCATAGTAATCGATACATATTCAGTCGCTAAGATTGTTGATATTTCACATGCAAAACGGAATTAGTACTCACCCTATTTATGCTAAAATGTATTGTTGCTGTTGTTGTGAATGTGTATGGGTGTGTTCATTTAGCGGTAAAATTGTATTGAACTAGTATGCTGTCTGTATAAATTATAGAATTCCATAATAAACTATCTATTAGATAACTAATCTAAAAAATAATATTGAATGAGATGAAAATGTGTTCCACTTACTAATATGAAAATAAATCGAATAAGTCTGAGAACAAAATTTTGGTAGAAGATAAACCGTCAGATGACACTATTAACTACTAGCCTAGTTCTAAAAGTACTTTAGAATTTGATTTTATCTGAAGCTATATCATTCAGTCTCATAATTTCGGTGGTGTTAACAGCTATAAAATTATTCAACTTGAAGTGACAGTCAATACAGCGTCCCAGAAAAAAATAACGGAATAAAATCAAGGACTACAATAAATTTATCCAAGTCATTTAACTCCTTGGTAGCATAATGATATAAATAGGAAGCAATCAAGGGGTTACAAACAGAAGCTGGGAGAATACATTGAATTATTGATTGATCATAGCTTATGATGAAATTTAACCTAGCCTAATTTACTGATTCGCTAGTTTTCTAACTGGTCCTAAGTCCAGAAAAAGAAGGAAGGTTGGGCGTGAGGCTAATCATTCTACCCCGAAAAGTCAATGCCATTGTCACAGAAACTCCAAAGCACACGAAGAATGTAAAAATAAAAGCTTATTTTTCACTGGAATCGGAGAGGTGAAATGATGCAGACTTCTGAAAGCCTTCGAGAAGCCAGTCAGTGGGTGTATCTTCTTTTATTCAAAGCCAAAATAAGAATCGGCATGTGGAATTTTCGTACAATGTATGCAGTTGTGAAGGCTTTCCAAATTACAAAAGATATCAAAAGATACTGCAAGGAAGTTTTGGGCATCTGTGAGAGCAGATGGACTGGATGTGGACTATCCGAATTGTCAACTGGAGAGTCAATAATCTACTATAATAACAAACAATGAGTAGGGCGCCCGAATGTGACATGGAAGTGATCGTGTGTGATGACCGCAGAGAAGAGGACAAAACTGAGGTATGCTGTTGATGTCCCATGTTCCACTCAGAACCGAAGAGAACAACAGTAATAATACGATGAAATAGATTTTAAGTTGTTTAGATAGTCTTTAGCTGCTCACTTATGCTTCCTCATGATTTATACGATCAGACAAATCAATTTTCATTTCCAGGAGACTTCATTTTGTTGCTACTTTCGCTTGAACTGACCACAATGGCATTCAGAATTATCTGTTAAAAACACACACAATATGCCTTATTATTTATTGATTTCATTCATTTCCGCTCCCAGTGGAACATAGGCCTTCAGGCTGGAGCCTCGAAGTTTCAGTCGCAGTGGTGTTTTTAACGGGATAGGATTGCTAAACTCATGCCCAACCTTTCCTCTTTACCGGCTAAGCGAGGTAAAAGAGTGCGTCCGAGGCCGAGAATCGAACCCCTGACCACTTAAGTGGTTGCCTAGTGTTCTACCACGAAGCCACTGAAATGCGAATAATATGCCTAACTGCCTCTTTTATCCATACGAGTCAAAGTATGCATTAGGATTCTTTCATCAACCTATGATTGACCTTGTCTTTGGAAAATTGTCCACATTTAAGTCTCCTTGCAACCAATTAGGGTGCATTTGTGCATTATTGTTTTCTACACTGAACCATAAAACAGTGGTATCCAGCGGATACGTGTTTTGCAGATTTTATTGAAGTTTACGACAACGCTGCATGCCAAGTAATCCACAATGGGAAACTTACCGAAGCCTTCGAAGTGAGGACGGGAGTGGGGCAAGGCTGTCTACTATCACCAATGATCTTCCTGATTGCAGTAGACTTGATAATGTGACAGCCACCGGCGAGCAACGAGGATACAGGCATAAAATGCACCCACACAAAAAACTTGGAGGATCTGGACTTCGCCGATGTGGTATATATGTCTGATTTCCCACAAACTGGAAGATATGCAAGTGAAAAGCAAGAAGTTGGCAGAAGAAGCATCAGAAATAGGACTTCAGGTGAACATAGAGGAAACAGATGTGGTGATGAAGATTCCTGGCCAACACCAACAGCAGAAACAACAGACAACAATCAGCATAAATGGGAGAAATCTGAAAGAAGCAGCCTCCTTTACCTACCTATCTGGGGAGCATCGTTTCAACTACAGTCGGACGGAACTGACGAGGATATCAAAGCAAGAATCCGAAAAGCAAAACAAGCTTTCATTACTCTCAAGTCTGTGTGGAGGTCAACAGTACTCATCATCAAAAATAAGATCCGGATTTTCAACTCCAATGTGAAGCCAGTCAGTGCTACTATACGGATCAGAGATTTGCACTGCGCGTCATAAAGAGCATCTCAAACAAACTTCAGACCTTCATTAGCAGCTGTCTTCACTCATTACTCAAGATTAGATGGTCGGCCAGAAAAGATCAGAAACAGTGAGGGATCTCTGGCAATGAACGAACCAACCAGGAACCGATTGTGAAACAAATAAGCAGGAGAAAATGGAGATGGATTTGCCATACGCTCAAGAAACCATCAAGTGACATCACTAGACAAGCCATCGCTCGAGTGGAACCCGAAAGGGAAGCGGCGAGTTGGTCGTCAATGCAAGGGTGACTTGGAGGAGGTCATGTGAAGAGGAGATGAAAGCATGTGGGCAGACTTGGAGAGGGGTGAAAAAGTTGGCAGAGAACCGAACGCAAAGAAGACGCGCGGCTGAAGCCCTATGAACCGCTAGGAATTAAAGGATATAATAGTAATAATAATAATTGAAGTTTAAATGTTAATTTTTGCTTTTTAGTTAATTAAACAGCTCTACTTTGCTACACTTTTCCTTATACATTTAATGTATATTTTAATTTTACCTCATAGTAAAAGGAATTAATAAAAACACAAACGAAGGAGATGAAGACGTTGATAGAAAACTATTAGTTGAATTAGCCAGCTGTAGTACTCATGCTGGTTATACTTATGTTGCTGAAAAACAAGCCATCTGGATTCCATACAATACATATCAACGTATTATCTTAGAACAGTATATGTCACCAGAAAGTAGAAAATGGTTGAAAAATAAAACATTTCTGCCTAATTCATATCCAATTTATTCAGCTCCAGGTTATCCTGCTGATGGTTTTAGCAAATTTTTATCGAATACAAGCAATCCACTTATTCAACCGTTAACATTTCAACATTTCAAACGTGGTATGGATGTACAGGTGAGAGAATTTCCTCCTCTGAATAACTGGTTATCTTCGTGCATATGATGGTTGTTTATTGCTTTTTCTTTGGGTAATTAAGCTATTAAGTTCTAAAATAAGTGACGTCGAACTGGAAGCATCCTCCACTACCGGTCAGGGACTGAGATAAATCTATCTGAAAAATCCTAAATAGTATTGTAATGATGAAAGACAAGGGCCAGGCAACAGATTGTTTATTGAGAAATTTAAGAGATATTCAGAGATTTTTATGTATATTATTATTAGCATTATTGCTGGCAGAGTAGCAGCATCTCCTGACCGGTTGTTTCCCTGCCGAAAGATATTCTTTACTGCTTGTGGTCGTTTCTTAAGAAGTTAAGCCGTATATCTGTAAATCGTATTTTTGTACACGTTAAGTCTTCTGTGATTGGTTGGTGATTTTCTTAAGGTTAACCTTTGTTATTGTTTTTTTTCTCATGATTCCGATTCTGGAGGTAAACATTGACGTAAATTGTTGTCTACAATTTTGGCTTGCAGACAGCTCTCACCACAGTATGAAATAAGCATCCTAGACTTCCCTGTCAGCTACCATCAGCCAGGGAATACTGTTTATGTTAGTGAAGTGATTACTAAGTAAATGCAACTATGAATTTGATCCTGTTACAATTTTAGCTCATATTTGTCGAAGAAAGAAAGAGTTGACAAAATTAGTAGTCTGTCCGCCTATTAATAATTGCTTAGAGATACAGGAAGTTTATTAGGATACTAAGGATTGTTCAACACAGAGCACTACAAATAGCTCACAATAGTGTATTATAAATTTCATTTCGTAAAGGTGTACTTTCAAAGTATAATTTAATATTCAGGAGTTTGTTTGTAAGGATTTGATGTATTTCAAGCTTGATCACGGATTAATATCAGTTAGAGAACCAGTGAAAACCAGCAGGCAATACTGGAAAATTGTTTCATCCTAGTTTCGGATTCATCGACAGTACACACCCACTGGGGTCCGAACCCTGGACCTTCCAGTTACAAGGAAGTTTCGTAGACTATTCAATCACTGGAACCCAACTCAATGGCCCATGATCCTGGGTTCGAAACACCCTGGGTGTGTACTGTCGTTCAATACCAAACTACGACTAAAAAGCTGTCTAGTACTCCCTGCTGGTTTTCAATGATTCTTTAACTGGTGCCTATCCATGGTCACACCTGAAAAATATCATTTAATGATCATACAAACATTCACCCTCAGAGCTATCAAAAGCGAATGGTTGTTATTTTAGCTGATTTTGAATAAAAGAGCAATGGAAATTGTCTTAGCTGTACAAAATTTTTGAACGTTAGAAAAATTCATACTTTTGGGATAAACCTTTAAGTAATCAAATGGGATTTCGTACAATCACAATTATATTTACTTATTTTTCTATGTGTGTGTGTGTGTGTGTACATTAGCTTTGTCCGACAAGAATAAAAACAGGTTGGGGTTATTCTTGTCAAGACATTACAAAAGTGTGTTGCATAATCAAACTGTATCTAGGAGGCGTACGAAAATTGATAACAGGGTAGTGGTGATGTGTTGTTAAAAAAACGCACTTATTAGTGTTAATCAACACATACAAGAAGTTGAATAAGCGTAATGCAGTTACGTAATAAGATGAGTAGTTTAATGAGTGAGTTGTGATTAGGATGCACATAGAAACAAAGGAAAAATAGGGAATTATGTAAGAGTTCTAAAAATTACAGATGTTATAGGGAGTTGGAAAAAACAAGTACACAACCATCAAGTCAGTAGAAGTCAACACGGTTGTTACCATGAGAGTAGAAGTGGTTGGATGATTTTTGTTTTTATGTATAACTCAGGTTTTTCCAACTGAATGGCTAAGGCTTCAGCAATACAAATGCGAAGAAAGCGTATTGGCTTTTGATAGGTTATTCTTTACTTTGTAGATCACTTTGAAGGAGGCGTTTATTGAGCTGGAACGACCAGAGTTGACGGGGTGTTCGATTATGGTACTCCTTATACAGCCACTATTACCTTTTTGTAGACATGCGGGATAGTATTTTTGAAACATTTTGGGGATTATCTATGAATATGTGATCGAGTAATTAATCACTGTCAAGATATATTTATGTGAAATTTGTTGAAAAAACATTCTTTAAACATATTTACACTGATCAAGAATAATGCGTATCCTGGTTTCAGGGGTTCTGTAACTGATTTCGGTTCATGATCAAATCTAATTTGAAATCAGTTGCATATCTATAAATCACCACTTATAAATTATATACATTTGCATATATAGGTTGCAGGGGTAGTATAATATAACAGCTTACTTCTCGATGTAGACCGAAATCTTTTGATCAGGTGTTTAGCATCAAAATAAGTTTGGAGACACTGAGGACAAAAGGATTGAGCAGAGAAATATCTACTTTCCAGTTGGATCCTGTTCTATGGCTCTACTCTAACATCTACGACATTTTTAATACAATACGAGTTCGTCTTGTAGCTGGAAGACCTTGGGTTTGAACCACGTTGGATGTGTACTTCTGAAGAGTCCAAAATTAGGAAGAAACAGCTGTCCAGTATTCACAGGTTTTCCATTGGTTCTATAACTGATGTCATCTGATGACGAAATTCTGAAACAGAATGACACACAAGTTCGGCTTCCTTAGCTGGATTCCAGTAGCTTCAGATGTCTGTTGAAGACGATATTCTAAAGCAAAATTAATACGGGTCACAATGAGATAAATAACCTTCAATGCTTTATTAATATCAGCTTTATACACACTCTACAAGATGTGCTAAAATACAGCCACGAACAGGTCTTGTCTGTCCCTTCCTTAATCCATCATACAGAACGATGTTCAGATATCTGATAATTAATGTGCTTAAATGCAGGCCCAGAGAACGGGGGCAGTAAAATTGGTAGATATACATAGAGGTGGTAAAATCAAGTGGTTTATCCTTGTTCTTTGAACGTAAAACTGGAGTGACTGTAAACAGATATCTAGCAGCCTCTGATGCATTGAATGCTGTTTCTACTAATTTCTTTAGGCACTGTGTCACTACTTCACTGATGTTATCACCAACAAACTGTATTCACTCTACTTTTTTTTTCACAGGGATCATGTATAATCTTGACTGTTATTATGCAGTCACTGGTACCTTTTGTAATATCTGCTCAACAATGAAACATTTTTATTGGTTATTCTAGCAGAGTTATTCCTCAACCAAATCGTCATACAGTTTAAACATTTAGAAGAACTCATGCATAAGAAAAAAACTCCCTCTCATAACAAACACTACAAAACAGTTAAAATGAATAATGTAAAAATAATAAAGCGATTTATTTTTGGATGAATGATTTTTCCAATTCATATTTTTACGAGTCGACCACGGATTGTTATCAGCTAGAGAACGAGTGAAAACCAGAGAGGAGTACTGGACAGATGTTTCATACTGGTCTGGGAATCATTGGCAGTACTCACCCACTGCCAGGGTTCGAACCCAGGACTATTCGGTTATAAGGCGAGGTCGTATACCATTTAGCCAATGGGACCCGACTCATCAATGGCCAGTCTATGAATTTTAACTTCTACCAATCCGTGATCAACTCGTAAAAAACAAATCTAATCCTTACAAACCAACTATTGGAAATTTTCAAAACAATGGATACTGAACAAAGAGTACTCATTTCGATAAATTCATCATCAGGCTCTACATTTATACATACATTATAGTGAATGAATGAGTTAGTGTTATAAACGACATTAATGTTTAAACAACATCAAAATAAATAATATTGATAGATTACAGCTGACTAGCATCAACGTAGAATAAGCTGAATGTCGGAAACATTAGGAAAGATAATAATACGAATTCAAGAGTTTATAGCTTCTACTGAAGACCAGGGCAATAGTAGGGGCTGAACTTGCTTCTTTTGGACACAGAGTGCTAGTTGTTTGAGGCGAGTCGCAATAGCCTCTGGTGTTTGGAGCCTGAGGTGCTTCGATGTTTTTGGTAATTTATTTGGCACCCGGTATAATATAGAGAAGGATTCATCTACGCTGGCTTTGTGTCCTGTTTGCACCAGATGTTCCAATATCGAGCTGTTAATAGTTTTCACTACACCTTTACTTAGCCATAGTGTGAGATGTTCTCGTGCACGAAAAATCATGTTCCCTGAGCAACGGCCAATATAACTGGCTCCACAAGCGCAGTTGTATTGATAGATACAATTAGAAGTGGCTAGTCTAGGTACTTTACCTTCCAGTCGAGGAATCGCCATAGGTCGTGTAGAGAATAATATGTGTAGTTCGCCAGCATTAAAAATCCTTTGAACTGATTTTCTCAATTTTCTTGTAATTATCTCACTTGGTATATCGCCCATGAATTGTAGTTATATATTAAGAGGCTTCGTTTTTACAGGTAGTAAGTGCTCCTTTTCCTTCTTCTTTGTCGTATGTTTCTTGATAAATTTTATATTATCTTATATATATATATATATATATATATATATATATATAATAATTAAGCTTTCTTTTCTTCCACTTCTCACATTTCTAGTTCGAATATTGTCCTAATCTACAGTGTATGCCACTCTACTCCATAGTGAATGATTTATTGCCAACAGCCAATGGTTGTCCTGTTTGGATGGGTAACAGTACAGAAAATAAAAAGATGAATAGACTGTCAAGAATGAATACTTATAGGAACAATGAAAAATTGAGAAAAGAGCAACTTGTAAACGATGCTCAAGTTGATTTAGTCTATAGATCACGTAATAATAATCAAGCCTGTTAAATAGAATATTGTTTTAGAAAAATTATTAGTTTACTTAAATATGTCTACGTAAGCATTTTACAATCATGTTGTTTTTTCTTAGAAAAGTCGTTTCATACATGTTTTTCAGTAATATGTTAGAAAAATTGAATAAAATGTTTGTGATAAAACAGCAATGTTTGCTTAAGAAAAAAGAAAATATTAGATGAAACATTGAGAAAAATTTAATGTCATCTGTTCTTTTTTTATGGGTTTCTTCCTTGTACTCGGTTGCTGATCCATACAGTTAGTGAAAGCTAGTCACAAAAAATGTTGAACCGGCTCTGTAAGTTTTATCTTTTAATTCATAAATATGCCGCACTTATGAATGGGAGTCAATGGCTTAGCGATAGAATGCTCGCCAACGACGCATGTGATCCAGGGCTAGATTCCATGCCAGTACATACCTATACCTCGCTAATCTGGTAAAAACACTAGTAAAGAGGAAAGACTGGGCTAGTGTGGTCGATTGCCTCCGACCGTCTAAAATCAACAATTCAAAGTGCAAAGTGATGGTGAGCCAACTAGAATGGTGGCCACATTGCAAACTTGACTGACAGAATTCAGTCTGCACCAAACAGAGGACTAGACACACACATTACCCTAGTTACTAACTAGTGTCCAATCAAAAGTATACGTATGGATACAGTCCCTAATTTCCCTTCTGGAATGTTTGCAAAATAGTGAAATTATATTGGAGGTGGAATACTTTGTTTAAATATCCCACCATTCTAAAACGACCATGTATAAGACTAAGAACCTAAATACGTATTGATCTTATGAAGTCATACAAACAGTAAGAAATTCAAGTGAATTCATCAGAACTACAAAGCTGCTTATACAGATAATTCAGAGGATGCAGTGCACCCATAGTGTGCGTCGATGGCACAGGGGTATAATGCCCTCCAACCATTCCTCATGTGATCCGAGGTTCGACCCCCGGCCAAAGGACGCACTCCTTTACCTCACTAACCCAGTAATAAGACTGATAAAGAGGGATGGCTGGGCATGCAGCTGGCAACCCCATCCCGTAAAAATGAATATGAAAGGCGCCGAAACTTCGAAGCTCTAGCTTGAAGCCCTATGTTCCACTGGGAACGTAAAGGAATAAAAAAAGGTATATCATTGCCAGAGGTGACACACATCTAAGATTTCTGTCAAATATAAATAGTCTTCAAGTTTTTTAATTAAAGTCAATGAGAAGAATCATTGTCTTCCTGGTGATTGAATTCATAAAGAAAGTAGAGTCTGGGAATCTTACAGAATATATTTTCCAATGAAGAAATAAATTTATCAGTGATTCCTATTTATTGAGGTAACAGATTACGCCATTCAACTCAAGTTACTTATCATGTGTTTTTTTCATCTGGAATGAGGAAACAACAGTCGAATTACAATGAATTCGCCGACCATGCACATGGTCCGGGGTTCGAACTCTTGCCGACGCACACCTGATATCTATGGTCGGCCTGCAAAATTTGGGCTACCGACATCACATACTGAAAATTCCATACTTGTACTGAAAATACAGTGTGGAATCAAGCTGTAATAAAGAATTCATCTGAACAATTAAGTTTTCCAATAGAAATATATTCATAATTGGCAGTGAATCAATCCAATGCCTACAATATGAGTAAAGTGTAAATAAATATATTGAGCTTCGAATGAAAGAGTGCATCTACCACGCTGTAGTTTTGTCGACAAGGCATTGCCAATAAAATAGATTTGAAAAGATTAAAGATTTCTTGTCATAGGAGTCTGTGCTCACTTGCCCATCTTTTGTGGAACAACATGATGAGTAACAATAGGCAAGGCATTTTAGTCTCTGGATGAGGTTATGAATACTTATAGACTGAAATAGCTGAATCATGCAGGTCATTATTTTCAATCACTAATCGTACCTGAATTATGATTAGGTGAGAATAGAGTAAAGGGTAGTCAGATTAAAACATGAGACCAATCCATATTATCATCAACTGCTGGAATGTGCTACACAGGTGGGTATAGAATGAAACAACTGTAGCCCTTAAAATATTTGGAATAATTAGTCAGAGATACTTTGTATAACAGCTCAAAACTGTTTACAGCATTGAAAATGTATGCAATCCATGTGGTTGAAATTTCAAACACCTTCAGTACCTTTTAGCGGAAGTCCCTATTTTATGTCCTTTCTTGAAATGTGGTAACTTCGACTACTGTACATCAGAAAATATTCTAAATTGTTCGAGTGTTGGTTTGTAAGGATTTGATTGGTAACAGGATTTCATCATGAGCTGACATTAGTTAGAAAACTATTGGAAAACCACACCAGGAAGTGCTGGACAGCTGTGTCGTCTTAGTTTGGGACTCTTCATCAGCACGCACCCACCGCCAGGGTTCAAACCCAGAACCTTCTGGTTACAAGGCGAGCTAGCTCGTAGACCATGAAGCCATTGGGACCCGATCCAATGGCCGGCCCATGAATTCTAACTTCTGCCATTTCCCTACATAGCGTGACCCCTAGCCAATGTCTTCGTCGAGTATTTGTCCTCACACCAGACCTGCTGCACCCTACTGATCACGGCTTCCCACTAGAACCCCAGGTAACTACCTACCCGAATAAGGAAAGTCGCTAGTGAGCCTCTCATTGATATTCAAATGTTGGTCTGTAGGGATTTGATTTGGTTACAGGATTTCATCATGAGCTGATATTAGTTGGAGAGTTGATTAGTCGGTCAGGAGATTTAGATATGCGACATTTTATTGCTTTTTTTATCCCTTTACGTTCCCAGTGGAATACAGGGCTTCAAGCAACAGCTTTAAAGTTTCAGTAGTGCTGGTATTAATTTTTACGGGATGGCGTTGCTATCTCCATGCCCAATCTTTCCTCTTTACCAGTGTTATTACCGGCTTAGCGACGTAAGGCAGTGAGTCGGCCAGGGATGGAACCCTGGACCACATGAGGCTTGGTTGACGAGCATTCTACCACTGTGCCATTGACGCTCATTTTATTACTATGGTATGCATAATAAAAGCTTGGAAATGACAGATGGAAAATATTCTCCAAAAATCGGATGAAATTAAGAATTCAACAGTGTTTATGAAAGGTTTGTCAAGGGATGAAAATCTTCCAAAAAATTGATGAAATCTCTCGATTCAAATCAGTACGCTTACTTATAGCAACCTCTATTTCTTATCACCAGTTTTTATGGTTTTTTCCATAATTTGCTTCAGAATAGAAAATTCCAGTGTCTTCTTTGAATAAAGGATAAAGTACATTACACAAATTACTATCATCTCTTGATTTACAACCATAAATGACAGTCATTTTGATTTACAAAAAGGTTAATTAGGGATTTATAAATTTAAGCTCATAAAAGTTCTATAACCAATCTTTCATTGCCTATATCGAATGGTAAAAAAAATGTACTTTTGTATTTCTATTTGTTGATAGAAATCGATTGATCAGAAATAAGATACACTTATTAGGCTAAGTGATGCACCGCTGAGGTGACGAACTTTTATTTAATGATAAAGTGTGGGAAGAGGTAACTGTAGGAGCTAGGCTTTCCGAATATCTCAAATATTTCTTATTGTTGACAAAACAGTACTTTAAATTTAGACAAAGTAATAAGAAGACGTAATTTGTCTGAATCGTGTGCGTAATGTATTTGTGCAACACATTTTGAACAATCTGATCATACACGGACTTGTCATACGAACACAAATATGAAATTAATAAAGAGTTATGAGGTGAGAAAAAGGAAGGACATACTGAAGGTCAAAATAACAATGAAAATCACTAAACCAGATAAGAGAGTTGATAGTACATCTACCCTGGCTGGTATCAAAACAGTGTTTACCAAGAAAGGTTTGGTATGATGAAGAATTGTGGTTTAAACTTCCTAATTGCCACCGAAGGCTTCCACAAACTTTAGGATACGCCCCAAACACATTCTATAGATAGGTGTAAAAGACGTATAAACATCAATTTTAGGTCCTGTCCAGTCTATAATATGTTTCACTATGGGGGAGCTAGATCTCCTGTTCTCACCATTAATAGGTCTTCGGGACCCTGTTTGCTTCTGAAGCCATTTAGGAATAGGCTCTGAGGTCCTTACCTTCAGAGATCGATGAGTTCTCCCCACGTGTATGTATATGGCTATACATACATTCAAACTGCTAAATGCATTGGAACGTGACATCAGTTTTCGCATGTTCTAAGGGCGTAGACGGATACATAGGCTTCACATTCTCAATTAATATGATGTACACGTCATTCTTAAAGGGGAGTTAGAAAGTTTGTATTTGGTGATCTTCAGTGTTATTCTGACCTTCAATGTACCCTTTTAACTTGATCTAAGTCCTTTTTCTCACCTCTTAACTCCTTATTAATTTCATGTATACATTCCTATGACAAGTCCGTATGTGATCAGATAGTTCAAAATGTGTTGCGTAAATGCATTACACACACGATTCAGACAAATTCCTTCTTCTTATGGCTTTGTTTAAATTCATTATTATTATTATTGCTCACTTGGGGATCTAGTGGATTATAGGGCTTCAACTGAACGTCTCCACTTGCCACTTCTGTCTTCTGCTGCTGTACTTTTCACATGCATCCATCCACACTGTTTCAACTCTTCACACAATCTCCTCCATGTCACCCTTCCACTGACGTCCCACACGCCGCTTCCCTTTCCGGTTCCACTCGAGCAATGGCTTGACGCGCGATGTCACCCAACGGCCTCCTCAGCCACGAGTGTCCGATCCATCCATCTCTTCACTTTCTTCTGCATATTTGTTGGTTGGCGATTGGTTCTTGTTTTGTTTGTTTCTTCCTATAGTTTCTTGTTGGTGATTCTTTTCAGTCCGGCCATCTGATCTTCAGTACAGAGCCAGCGAAGACAGTTGTTGATAAAGGTCTGGTCTGCAACAGGCTGTTGGAAATATTCTTTGTGACCCACCCATCCGCCAAGTTTCTGATCCGTATAGAACAACTGACTGACTTGACGTTTGTATTGAAGATCCGAGCGAATTTTGTTGTTGATGCTGGCTGAGTGACGAAGATTTCCAGATTGGTTTCAGTTGGTTGATGAATGTGTTTCTCACCTTCCCGACTCTCGCTCGATTTGACATCCCCGTCCCTTCCGACTGCTTGTAGTTGAGACAATGCTCCCGGGATAAGTGAATGAAGTAACCTCTTTCAAATCCCTCCCGTTGATGGTGATTGGCGCTGGATGTTGCTGTTGTTATTGTTGGTTGGTTATTTGCATCACCTCCGTCTTGTTC